CGTTAAATCGATTCTTCTACTTGTCATTGCTGTGGTCGTCAACTCTGTTGCTAATGAGTTGGTGACTTGTGGAAACGAAATGCTGAAACTCGCTCGATTAATGATTAAGCAGTATACAGTAGTCCTTGAACTGCACCCCGGCATTCGTTCATACAGTAAAACATGACCTGGCGAGATTGCTGCGTGACATAGCTATATGACTTGCGTGTTTCCATAACCCTAAATGCTGTGCCAGCGGAAGCTTCAGCTTTTGCTAGGGTCACCCATGTCCGACAGGTCTGAGGTGAGAGCCCCTACTAAGAAGGGGGGGGGCAATTATCTGCTCATTATGGCGTAAACAATAATCGAAATATTATCATACTGAACCAGTTTACACTCGGCTTGCCAAGGACTGCTCAAACTGCTGGGGAACTGAGGAAGTCCGTAACAAGAGGTGAAAAAAACTTGTTTTGCATCGTTCTGCGCCTAGGGACGTGACAGAATGGCGACGGCGAACAAGCAGTGGTCGAAACAACAAATAAGGTGTAATAAGGTGCCATCACACAGCTGTGAAGCAGGGAGGGGTTGTCATAAAATGCTGGAAGAATGGAGGAAACTCTGCCTCCGCGGTGACTCAAACGAACAGAGTGTAGAATACTGCAAACGTCAGCTTTATGAGACCCTATGAGTGCTCAAAAGGGACACAACTGCGTAGAAGAATTAACAAATTCAATATATTGGCAAAACCGTCCCGGACAAACTTATGAGACCACAGGTTCAATGGCTGATGTGCCAGAAGTTGTTCAGCTGATTGATAAAAGAAATGAGCTGTAATGGAGAACTTACAGAAGTTTGAACGGATTAAAGAACCTAGGAGATATCTCGATTCTATCAAAGGCAGAAAACACTGAATGCATAAATGCATCAGTCAAGCTTAGAGAGTCCTGAAGTCAATGCGAACAAGTAATTTGGAGTCTATACCTGGTGTGATATACTGTATAGCTTCAACGCTTAACTTTATTGCATTCACGAATGGAAATATTCTTCCAGATGTTGCTTGAAGAAGGAGCAACTTCTTGGCAAACGGAAGTTGTGACACACCTATTTCTGAACGACGACAGCAGGAGTTATGGCAATCTTATTCTTTACAAGCCGATCACGTGCTTTGCAACCCCCTGTCAGCCTGGAGGCGAAAAACTTCATATTTCCTTAACAGAGCGGTCCCCGGATGAAAACTAAGGGAATAAAGTCCAATTTCTCACGGAACGATGGTTACGTAACAATTGTAAAATATGAAGGACTAACAGAGCCATGCTATGGTCGATTTTATGAAGGAACTTCTCTTGTGCCACATGGCTGAATTAATGAATGACTGGAACCTTACAGCTTCAACGATGGCCTCATAGCGTTCTTCCAGAGTGTAATTCCAGAATGCAATGTCCTCCCGGAATCAGTGAAGATAAAGCGATGAGTCTTTCACGGATATTCAATTTCGCCGCTAACATTTTGCCTGGCACTTAATCAACTCAGTTCCATGTTGAATAACACCAGAAAGAATATAAGTTGAAAGGTGGAAGACCTGAGGCTGTGTGAGACATGGGAGAAAGAGCTAAATAATCTGACACAGAGCACAATCTTTCCAGAAGATGTAAGGAAAAAATCCGGTTTAGATAGATGTGTTGTATTCGATATCACAAAGGGAAAAATTTGGTAAAGCGACGGATTGACTTTACCAACTGGTGAAATAAGCAGCTTAGGTTAATTGCGATCCTATGAATACCCAGGCGTATTAGAAATTGGCAATGTGTCACATGGAAAAATATAATTAAACGATGAAGATGGAGCACCATATGAGAATCCATCGATTTCTGAAGACCAAATTGTTCGGGATGAAAAAAATCGTAGCCATTAACCGGTATGCGGTACCAATGGTTGCTCATAGAGGATGCATCGTGGAATGACACAAACAGACAGGCCAGAAGTGAATGAAAAGACACAAATGATCTTTAAACTGTAGGAGATGGAACATCCAAAAAAAGTAGGCAAAGGTTATATGTCGCCAATGAAGAAGGAGGAAATAGTTTCGTAGTTTTAAATATACCTTGGAACTAAAGACGGCATCCACAGCGCAACATCTGGCAGGATAGTCAGATGCTGGCGACTGCAAAGGATAAAGGTTAATGGAGACTAGAATAGGAAGTATCTAGAAATGCAAAATATCATCAGGAAAATTAAGAAAATGCATGAACAAATGTTCGGGCTGGACTTCAGTCAAGAACACTGGGCAGGTGAAAGTACTTCTGGAATTCTTAGTACAGCCTGAGAAAGAACTATTGGCTTGTCGATCAGGTATCGTTTTGGTAGAGTGTGCGAAAAAGCAAATACAAATGACAACAATAACAATTGGCAACGTTATTGTTAAGAGGAGAGGGATGACACTTAAATATTGTCAACTGATAAGGAAGACGCAAAAGATCATAGCAGTAAAAGCAATGGTAATTCCTCTATTGAATGTTGCCTTTGGAGCAATGAACTGAAAACATCAGTATCTAATAAAGTCAGCTGATGAAGTTATAAAGTTAATAAACTGCAGAAGGCGACACTGCCAGAAACAGCCATTATTTCAAAAAGAGTACTGCAGCACCCTAACCTTTGACAGATGATAGAAGGTCTGAGATAAGGTAACGTTCAAACCACTCGTGTCATATTTCATGGAATGTAACTGAAATAAGAAGCGGATAGGGGTAGATGCATTAATTGCCTGTTCCATTGCCACGTTGCTAAAAATAACATACCAGACATGATTGCGTATTAAAATAAAATTCAACGTTCTTCGGTCCATCGCACTTATATTGGTACGTTTTGATTTTAGGCGCATTTGCGAAAGCCATAGTCGAATGTGAGTTGTGGCACGCGAGTGCTTTGTCATGGATCCAACGCTTCCCGTTCCGGAGCGTATGAAGTATGGGAGCAGTGTTTTGTTCTTAACACTCAGTCATTGGAGGAAGGAGGCTGACGTTAAGCAATTAATCAAAATTTAAATGTCTTGGCATATGTACTCTACGTTCTGAATGGCACTATTGGTCTTGTATGACTTTTTTGAGGTTATTGGACGAATTGTTCTTATAGCTACTGGCTAACGAACAGTTACCGGCGATTGTATTTTCTTTTTGTCCTTTCCATGGCTATGCATAACTGCGCAATTGTGATTTGTTCATTCTGGACTGCAAAAATATCCATTTGTCGTCAAACATCATAATAGATCATTGGGTGTATTTCCTGCCATCAGATAACTTAATTCTAGGCAATGGAACACGACATTTCAGCTGCAATTTTGTCAGAGTAGTTTGTATCGAAATATTCATTTTTATTTGGCCCATTGGCTTATCAAGAAGTTTACAGCCGTGTTCGATAG